CACCTTTCAGCTGCACTTTGTGTCTGTGGCATCTCTGTGCCAGCCCGTCTGGAAGCGACTGAGAAGCTGTTCGGGGGGCTGCGATGGGGAGGGGTTGCTGCATGTGCGTTAGTCGTTACGTAGCTCCTCTGCATAGAAGCAGTGGGAGAAGTGAATCTGAATGAATTTCTTTAAAAAGTAGAATCATAGAATCATTTAGGTTGGAAGAGACCCTTAAGGTCATCGAGTCCAACCATTAACGTAACACTGCCAAGTCCACCACTAACCATGTCCCTACACATCTTTTAAATAACCCCAGGGATGGTGACTCCACCACTTCCCTGGGCAGCCTGTTCCAATGCTTGACAACTCCTTCCGTGAAGAAATTTTTCTTAATATCCAATCTAAACCTCCCCTGGCACAACTTGAGGCCGTTTCCTCATGGCCTATCGCCTGTTACTTGGGAGAAGAGACCGACCCCCACCTCGCTACAACCTCCTTTCAGGTAGTTGTAGAGCGCGATGAGGTCTCCCCTCAGCCTCCTCTTCTCCAGGCTAAACAGCCCCAGTTCCCTCAGCCGCTCCCCATAGGACTTGTTCTCCAGACCCTTCACCACCTTTGTTGCTCATCTTTGGATGTGCTTCAGCACCTCAATGTCTTCCATGTAGTGAAGGGCCCAAAACCACAAATGCATTTTTAAAATTGCGTTCAAACACGGTGGACTTGTAAAGGGATTTTTGCTAAATTCAGCTAACGGCAGGCCTGAGAGTGTCGGCACAGGAGCTGGCAAGAGGCCGCCTGCCCTCCTTGGGTCACCCGCCCTGGGTGACGCAGTCCCCCTAACTCATCCCCTTTCAGGCTGTTCCGGTAGGCTGCAGCCCTGCCCCGGACACGGTGACCAGCCATTGTCCCGGTGCTGCAGCGGATCAGAACATCGACACCTGGGATTCCCCCCAGAACGGCCGAGTCCCGTGTTTCGGTGCCCTTGACCTTGTACCGGGCCCCTTGAACTGGGGCTTGATCCGATCCCTGCAATGAGCCGTTCCAGGGGTGTGGGCCGCACTGGCAGCGCGTTAAGGCACCAGCGAGTGGGTACACACTGCTGCTGTCCGGGGCCGGAGGAGGAGCCTTCTGCGCTGCCCGGGTTGGACCCGCCATGCCCTCCCTCCGCAGCCAGCCCAGCAGGGCCAGGCTCTTGTTCCAGCCAGGGGCCCCTTCCCAGGATGAGCTCTCTCCTAGGCGGGTCTGGGCTTCTCGACCTGGTTTCTGTGGTGTAGTGAGGACTGGCACCGGTGCCCATGTGGCAATCCCCTGACCCCACGCTGCCTCCGGCTGCTGCTGCGGTGCTGGGGGTCCTGGTCAGCCCCCAGGCTGGACCTGCCTGTCGTTGGTCTGGGACCAGGCCCTTTCCCACCACACAAGGGATTCCTACCATCGAAGGGAGATGGGGTTGTTGAGGGGGTTTTGTCCCCGCTCAGGGTGACACCCTGGGGCGCAACAAGTTTCTGCTCAGGGCTGCGGCTTTTTTGCCTGCAAGCTCTGGGGCTGTGGGTGGGAAGCATCTTGGCGGTGGTCTTTGTACTGACCTTCCCTTCCTGCCACCTCAGGTGTTTGTGGAGACGCTGGACAAGTGCTTTGAGAACGTCTGTGAGCTGGACCTCATTTTCCACATGGACAAGGTGGGTTGTAGGTTCTGTGCGCTCCTCCAGGCCAGCGCCGCCGTTCTCCCCAGCACCTGGCTGCCCCAGAGCCCTGCCCTCGCTGGAGCCTGTGCTCCCACGGGCAGGAGCTGGCCCAGCCTTGAGCTCTGGAGCCTTTCAGGCTGTTGGTACGTGAGGGGTCACTTTTTGGGGAGAGGTTGAAATCTGGGGTGGGGAAGTTGTCAGCATCGGGTCTTCTTAAGCTGCTCACATTGTGTCATCCAAGAGATCTGAGTTGCTGGGCTCTGTTCCAAATCCTCCATGGGTAAGCTGGCTTTCGGCTCCCAGTGCTCGCCCTGTTGCTGGCTGCACTGCTGCAGCACAGCAGTGGGGGGGGAGTGGGGGGGTGGGCTGGTGACGGCCACCGACGCTGGGTAGCTGTGCGGTCAAGTGACAGGGATCCATGCTGAGGCTTCGCTCTTGGTCTTCGGCACGGGCTGGTGCCGATGGAGCTCTGGCATTGTGCAGGGGCGTTTTGCCTCTTCTCGCTGTACTGTGGGACCCATTGGGAGTCTTGTTAACATTTTACTAGAGCTGCAGGAAAAAAAAAGGTAAGGAACAATGGGAGTGTTTGGAATACAAAGCGCTTGGTAAACTTTCGTTTGAGCCACAGCCTTTAATGCTTCCTCTCCAGAAACCTGGACAGAGTTTCTGGGTGAAAACCTATCCTCTTTGATCATCTCATAGATGGGGCTGAAGATAGCTGGGACTATGCTTAGAGAAAGGAGAGACTTAGCTGATGTGTGCTGGACTTGTGTTGCTGTTGATAAGGCTTTTCTTGCTTTGTTGATGACAAAACATGCCAACAAAAAAGAGGAGTGGAAAAAAATCGATAAGGCTGTAAAATGTTCCCTTTCTGTTGGCAATTCCAACTTATGCACTCTGGCAGAGGAATGAAGTTAGCAAATCTTCTTAGAAGGCGATCTGGATCAGCTGAATGTACTAGCAACTGGTGAAGTAAGACTTTGATTTCATAATTTGCCTGGCTGTAAACTTTTAGAAATGTTACAAGGTTGATTATCTCGTCAGCAAAAGCGTTCTTATCAAGGCAAGCAAAAGGAGAGGAAGGAGGAAGTCAGAAGGAAGGAGGAGTACCTGCAGGAAAGTGATGGCAGCCACCTCAGATCACCTCTAGCCACATCTGGGGGAGGATGCGCTCTCAGTTACTTATTTTGTGGCGTGACCAAGACCTGGCAGCTTTACACTCAATCCGCAGCCCACAGGCAGAAGAGATTATCCTGTTGCTTGTTTGTTTTGCCAGCAGTAGCACGGATTGCCCTTCCTCTGAACTCTCCTGCCAAGCGAAGGGTTCAAGGGAGACAGGAGTCGGGAGGGTTTCTGATAGGGGAGGCCCTGGGCTCGGTCACCCCGAGGCTCTCCTACCAGTCAGGCTTGTTTACTTCCCGTCCCGTGCTCCCGCTGCTTCCCAGCCTTGACTTCAGTCCCTGGCCACTATCAGTCAGTCCTCTCATCTCTCTTTCTATATTTGGCATCTATTTATTTGTCGGATGTGTTCGTGTTGAGTGCCCATGCTTCCAAGAGCTTGGTTACAGACGGGCGGTGTTAGGGGTGCTGGGAATACGCAGGTGTGTCCTGCTGGGCCCCGGGTCTTGCCCCTCGGATGCCCGGGCAGGGCTTTCTGCGGCTGTGCTGCTGCCCCAGCGCTGCCACAGAGCCCTGCCTCCAGGACTTCAGTTTGTCAAGAGCCGTGCAGGGCACGGTACTACCCTCCGCTCTGGCAGGTGGATTGCAGAGTTTGTGAGTTCCCGACTAGAACAGGAGAAATGAGGCCAGCGTTAACAGGAAAGAGCTGATTTGTTGAGCAGAAACTTTGGCTGTGAACATCCCCAACCCAGCAGGCTCTGGCTGGGATTTGGATGCAGCCATGTCTGGGTCCTGTGATTTTCTATTATTGCCTTAAGATACACCTTACACTCTGTATGCAGCACAGGGTCTGTGACGTGAGAGCTGCTGTGGGTTTCGGGTCCCTGCTCTTGCAGCGGGCAGCTGGATGGGGCTGTTGGGTCTGTGGTTCTCAGGCACCAGTGACACCAGAGCTTTTAGGCTACCAGCTTTGGAAGCAGCAACCTCAGAGCTGCAGGGATCCCCCTTTCGCAAGGGGAGGCTGGAGCCACGAAGCCGTGCGGAGGCTCAGAGGAGGCTGTTGCCCAACCCTTGGTTGTACTTTGTACCTTGGAGGAGAACGTGAGTTTCGCTAAGCAGCTGCGAGGTCCCAGAGAGGACACGGTTTGTTCAGGAAGTGCTGTGTTTCGGTTTGGAAAACAAAGCTTGCTTGGGATTTCTGCCCTGTTGGTTTTGGTCCAACTTGGGCTGATGCCAGATCTTGAAGGAACATTTCCTGCAGCCCAGATGCTCTCCTGTCGCAGGGAGCTGCTAGCACTGTCCGGTGCGGTGTTTGCTGGGGCTGGGCTGAGCTGAGGCTGTGCTGTGGGACAGCGGTTCCTGTGCTGCGGCTGTCCCAAGAAGGTGCTGCATCTCCCGTGGCTCGCCCTGTGCAGTGCTGGTCCCACACACCTCGCTGCTCCTGGTGCTGTCAGAGCAGGACGGGACCTGCGGGGCATCAGGCTCGCCATTTGCACAAAGCTGGCTTTCCCCCTTCTAGCAGGTTCTCTAGCTTGCTTTATTTTTCACAGTGTTGCCCTGGCAGTATTTGCCACACAGTGTTTACAAGTGCAACCTGCCCTCATGAAGCCATAAAACGATATAACTACTTAACCATCTTCCAGTAATAGCCCATTTTACAGAAGTAACCAGAGACCCATAAATTCATTATCTGTGCTGGGTGGTTGTTGGGAGCTGCTGACTTGGCAAGGAAGGCTGGGCTGTGCAGGGCGGTGGGGCGCCCGGGAAGGCCCAGCTGCCGCCCTGGGGCTGTTCGTGTTTTCTTGGATTGCAAACCACGATGGGCCCTTTCTGCTGCTGTGGCTGTGAGGAATCGAGGGCTGGCCCGAGGGAGCAGCTCACAGCTCACCCCCTCACTGGGTCTGCTCTGTTTCATCCTTGGACCCGGGCGGACCCTGGGGAAGGGAGCAGACTCTCTTAGCAGTTTTGTGCTCTGGCCTGGCTTTCTGGGTAGAAGAAACTGGTCCTGGGAAGAAGCGTCCTGCCCGGTGGCTCCGGGAGGCTCCTCTGCAGCCCACTTTCTAGGCAGGGAGCTGTTCCC